GTGAGTCCGACTGCAAGAATGAAGGAAAGCCAGCAGAAATGGCTTTATGAAATTTTAAGAGTGACAAACATTTTTCATAGTGTTTTTGAGGCCGAGAAGCCTTGCAAATAGTCACTGCCGCAACAGAACCTCGTACCTCAAAAAAAAAAACTTTTCAGGAGAAGATTAAAACGTTCTTGACTTTCACTGAATTTTTTTATTTTAAGTAATTTTGGAGAGTTTCTGTTCTGTTTTATCCTGAAATTTTGACAAGGCAACTGCTCAATGCTCATATTTTGTAAAAAAAAAAAACAAAAAAAACAATAATAATAATTTAAAAATGAAAGTACAAGATTTCGTTACGACACCATTAATATAAAGAACCATTAAAGGCACTTAAGCACATTGTTTAAAGCCATTTATCTTGGTGGTATGTATGTTTTATTTCCTGTAAAAATACCATACGTTTTCATTAATGTAAATGCCTATGACAAATACAAAGTATTTGATATTTTTAATAACAAGAGTCTTTGACGCCTCCAGCCATCACAAAAATACATCTAATTCCCTCACAAGACCTCTTGATTTAACAATCAAGTATTGATCGGCAATATATGTTTGATGATACCTACAAGTAACACTGGGAAAGGGTTCAACAAACACACTGTCATACTTAAAATTACTACTTAGTGTATTCATGTTGTTTAAGTGCTTTTCTAAGCAAACAAACACTTCATGCCCAATTAAAAAGCTTTTTAGGTATAATTAAGTGCCTAAATCATTTGCACAGCATTGTACAATGTAAAGTATTCTTCTTCTTCTTCTTCTTCTTCTTCTTAGTAGTATTATTATTATTAGTATTATTATTATTATTATTCTCACATACAGGCCTATGCAAAGGTTGGGCACCTCTGGTCAAATTACGTGTTTAGTAAAGGTAATACATCCAGTACAGAGACACACTTTAATACACAATTACTTCTTATTTGCTGAATTTAAAAAACTGCGGAAAGGCTTTTCAGAAGTTATGTCATTTTATCTTTTATATATGTATATATTTTTTCCAATATGTCACACTCAGCAAATAAATAGAAACTGTTCTCAAAAAAATAGCAGAAAAACCTCATGGTTAAGTGTGTTAAGAGGACGCGTTAACTTACTTTCACATAGGAGATCAACAAAGCATGGAATCTGACCTGGGGCGCCCAAACTTTTGCATATGACCGTATGTGCTCAAACATACGATACAGCTCAGAGATATATGAGCATGTTTAGGCTCTGAGGGTCTGTGTGTGAGATATTTAGGGTGAAATGTATTTAAGACCCAGTTTGTGCGTCTCCAGAGGAAGTTGTGCTATTAGGCATTGATTCCCTTTGCTTTCTGTTGCCCCTTCATCTTTATCTCTCGCTCGCTCTCTTAACGTCCTCTCAGAATGCCTCAGCAGCATCTTCCCCCTTTACTACCCTTTATGACACCGGTGTTAAGTCGTGATCCCTCCACCACCCCCCCACCCCCCCTTTCTCTCTCTTTCCTGTTCAATAATAGATGCGTGTTTGTGTTTGGCCCTGTGTAGCAGGTTGCCTGTGTCGAGGCTCTTAAAATGGTGCTGAAATTTTAATCGTGCGCGTGTCTCAGTAGAGGAGAGCGGTGGGATGCACTTACTAAATCTCTCTTTAAATGCCCCTCTGACTCCAATACCCCCCTCAAAAGAACACGCAGGGGCTGTGGCTGCTTTAGACACATTAGTGGAGTTCATGTTTCCTCTCAAAGCTGCTTTTTATAGGACCTGTGCTCAGCAGGAGGGAAGCAGAATCGTTAATATAAATAATAAGCAGTCGTATAGATTAAGACCGTACGATAGGGTGGGGCAATACGACAGTGTTTGTCACAGTATGAATCCGTGAGTATATTTTGAATATTATGAGTAGTTCTAGAACTGCATGTGTCGTTATGAAGAGAGCATTATTGGCCCTGTTTAATGGGAGTGAAATGTGAATAGAAATCACTGTGTGTGTGTGTGTATATGTGTATATATATATATATATATATATATATTAGGGGTGCGGGAAAAAATCGTTTCTTAGATGCATCGCGATGCAGACGTGGACGATTCTGAATCGATTCACAAACGTCAAAAATCGATTTTCTAAATATTTAATTTATAACGTAATGTTGACGGAACGCAAAGGGCGGAACTTGGAAGTGGGTAAGTGCGGCGCCCGGACAGTCTGTGGCGGCACATAACAAAAACACAGCTGGATGAGCGAGAAATCCGACCGGCTCCCTCTGCATTAAAGCCAAGTTAGGTCAGGAGTCACAGCACAAATGATAAGAAGAGCCATTTTGTCCTTTCAACAAAAATCAAACCACCTTGGGAGCCACAACATCTATGTCCAGTATGTGATAATGTGCTAGTTTAGGCTAAAAATATAAACGAAAACACGGACTTACTCTGCTCTGCTTTAAGCTTTAGCTACAGCCGCTTTTCTTCCAACTCCGCCAGAAAACTTTTCCTCAAAAGTTGAATAGTTTCTTGTAAAATGTCTCTCAGCTTTCCGCTGTTTTACGAGGCTGAAGTCGCTTCTCATTCGCCAGCTTCTTGCTGAATTTTCCCGTTCCACCTTAAATTCTGACCGAGGCGCAGAATGTAAAAGCGGCACCATTTAAGGTGGAACGGGAAAATTAGAGAAGCGACTTCATCTTCGCAGCTTCGCATCGTTTAGTGTTCGACAATCTCTCGTTGCAGATTTGACGTACCAGGAAACCAACTGCGCTGCTTATAAATGCGAATAAGTCCTTTCATCTCCAAATGTTCCTCTTTCTCTTTTCCTTTTTCGTTCGCTACCAGCTCGACGAAACCTCGTTGCTAGGTGACCTGCAGTCCCCCCCCCAATCACGAAACCAAAACCGAAGTTATGAAATCCCTAAAGAATATATAACGCGCTCCGTGGTCATCCATCACCACTTATCTTATTTCACCGTAACAGCGCATTTTATCACAGATGAGTGGCAGCAGTGTCTCCAAACAAGAGCAGTTAATGAGAGCCTTCCAGTTCACTTACCTCATCACTTCCATTTGTTTTATTAATCAAAGATATTGGACGTAAATGCATTATGGATCATTACAAATACTTTGTTTTAAAACTACTAAGTCCTCAGACAGTAAGAAAATAGAAATCATGTATAGAAAAAAAAAAGATGCATCGATAATCGTTTTATAATCGCATCGCAGCCCTCTGAATCGTAATCGAATCGAAACGTGAGGTGCCTAAAGATTCCCACCCCTAATATATATATATGTATGTTTGTGTGTGTGGGTGTGTGTGTGAGAGAGTTTTTCGATGGTAGAACATGCATACATATTCTGACGTAGCATGTATTGTGAATTTAATGAAGTATTGCGATGTACCTTTTCCATATTGCTTCAGTTTAGCATCTCTAAAGGCTTTAGTGTGCTATGAGCATAAAAATCACAGATGGGAACATAACGAGGACAAAAACAGTAGCGGCAATACATAAACCAACTGATAAATAGGTGCACAACACTAAGTGCTTTTCCATTCATTTCTCAGCCCCCGTTCTCCAATTTTCTCCCCAGTTTAAGCCCAGTTCAGACTGTGCGATAACAACGAGTTTTATTGCTCGTCACACTGTGAGATGCTGCAAATAAAATCTTGGCTAACTTCCATGGCAGACTGTGTGCCTTCTGTTACCCTGCAGGTCAGATTATCTCTTATCGCAAGAAAATTATTACTTTTTTCATGTGTCTTCTTTTTATATATATATATATTATAAATATATTTATATATAATAATGTAATATAAAGCCTTGCAACCAAAAAAAGCCCTCAGTGTTATGTTTTGCCTGAAAAAACACACATTAAACCGAAGAGGGCGTGTTTGGGGTTGTCCGTGGCTGGTGAAGGGGCATGTGGGATGTCCGTTCTCCAGTGAGCTTAAAGGAAATAGGCTAATTTTTCTGTCTGTTATGTCGTAGTAGCTCTGCCATTTCAAGGCAGGTCGTATAACTTGTGAGTACTAAAATTTCTACCTTGGTGTATCGCCTGTCTGTCTGTCTGTCTGTCTGTCTGTCTGTCTGTCTTTGGTCGCAAAGGCACTAAATAAGCCCCTCACAGCTCACAACTCTCAAGATTTTCAGTTTTAGTCTGCAGCAGCATTGTAGTGGGTGGGGCAACCGCATTGTTGAGGGAGCTGCCGGCCACAGATGGCTGTGGCATTGCCTTCAAACTCATCTACTCATACTAGCACAACACACACTAACATGCCACCACCACGTCAGTGTTACTGCAGTGCTGAGAATGACCCACCACCCAGACCTGCTCTGTGAGGGTCCATGGGGGTCCTGATCACTGAAGAACAGGGTAACAAAGTATCAGAGAAACAGATGGACTACAGTCTGTAACTGTAGAACTACAAAGTGCACCTATATAGTAAGTGGAGCTGATAAAATGGACAGTGAGCGTAGAAACAAGGAGGTGGACTTGAACATGAAGTAGTTCGTCACTGTACTGTACATCTAACTGTGCTAATGTTTGGGCACCCTTGATCAATGTACACATTTCTAAGTGTGAATAAGTTAACACGTCCTCTAGAGACACACTTCTGCACGTTTTAATGCACAATTGCTGTTTATTTACTGAATTTAACACACTGGAAAAGAGTGTTAAATATGTTTATTTTGTTTTATTTTTCCAACGTGTTAAACTCAGCGAATAGAAGTGAATCCTGTATGTGCCGTTCAGCTTCCAGGTCCTGAGCCGAGCCCACGTAAGCAGGCAGCGGTATTTTTTTATTTATTATTTTTTTTGTGCTGTTCAGCCGGCCGGTTCTGGGTGGAACTCCAGGCTGTGGAAGAGCGACTCTTTGGTCTGCAGAGATTGCAGCTCACCTGAGTGTGAAATGAACCGATCGCACAGAGACAGAACACTCAGCAGAGACAGAGAGAGAGTGAATTAGAGGGAGGTAGGAAGAAGAAAGAGCAAGAGAGAAGAACAGGAAGG